ACACACACACACACACACACACACACACACACTATTTGAGCCAGGAGAAAACTACAAAACGTAATGTTGTTAATGTGATTTGGGATTATGGTGTGTTAGAGTGGGAGAGGGTGATGGTGGAAGGCAGGAATTAAACAAGCATAAAAAACTTGTAAGTGTACTGTAACTATAGGAATAATATTGTTAGAATGGTAGCTTGAATCAAGTAATGTGCCCCCAAATGACCAACATCCATATATTAATTTGTCCTTTGGGATAATCTGAATGATGAAAAGATTGATGTAATCTCAGCTCTACTTTTCTGATTGTAATATGACTTAGAAATGTGCAACAGAATAGAAAGCTAAGCTTAATCGTCTAGCTCTTGATCAAATTCATGATCATATAATATGAAGTAAACACCAATATTAATTGATTTCTTGAGATTTGAATATTTGGTTTTAATTTTAAAGAAAACTTATTTCAAGAACCTGGTATAACTGTATATTTAATATGGTACATCCTTCTCCATATGGTTTATCAAGGTTCTCCTAAGCCTGGATGTGATCTTAGTTTTCTTGTATACATGTAACATTCTGCCTATATCTTTTATGGCACTTGTTAAAATGTGCTTAGCTTTATAGTTATTCGTGACTTATTTTATTCTCTCTACAGGTTTTCAAATTATTTTAGATGACGGACTCATCTGAAAATTGAACATATCTATTTTATTTCATAGTATTTCTTATATATGATAAGCAATATATCAATAATTATTGATAACAATACAATTTGATGGCTTAAAACTTGCATGATTTGAGTAGAACATTTTGTAATGAGTGAGGATGATATTTTTCAACAAACCCATTGTGCTTTTATTTTTTTAGATCTTGATAAAGTGTGTTGTGGTTTTGCAAGGACTACCAAATATCATCTACTCAAAGAAACATATTGCGAGTTTTGAAAGTGTACAACATATGATAGCTTGTTGTATCTTCTACATAACAAAGGTATTTATCTCATTCTTTGTCATGTCATAAAATTTAGGAACGAGAATGATTAAGAAAGTTAAGATACTGATAATCACAGGAATTAGAATAAAAATATAATACCCAGAAAGTATTTTGGAGTAAAAGTAGCCTGAATAGGCCAATTGGTAATGCCTGGAGGGCATATCTTGGGAAGGAGGAGATGGAAAAAAGGCATTTTATGAGACCTCATTCACTTTGGAAACAGGAAAGAACCAAGAGACCAGAGGTAGAGAGGTAGGCGTATTTTTCATCATTGCTTGGCTTAAAGACCAGCATTGCATGTCTTTTCAAAGGCTTTGGTTGACTGAATCTAGTGAGTCTCCTTAAGAAGGGCCATATCTGCCTGCCTGTTTTATGTGATCCTCACAGGACCTGTCTGATTTGGCCAGGGATCTGGAAGGGTACTGCATATGTGGCCTGATTTGATCCACCACTTTGGTTGGGACTTGAGTTTGCTTCTGTGGAAGCCTGGCTACAGAGAGGCCTCTACTCTGTACTTAAGCAAAGAGGTCACAATGTACTTGCTGACTGTTCATGGCCTGACCTGAGAAGCCGAAAATCATATTCCTCCCATCGCTCTCTGCTTTACCACTGTTGTAGAGACTTCTATGACCTGGCCTGTGTAGATGCTGAGGGAACATAAGCCATTAGCAGGAAGAGAAAAATAATAACTCACTTAAGAGGACTCAGAACCCCAAGGAGGGGAAGAGCAGACAAGACACTAAAATAATTGTGTTATTTACTCTTACCATGTTGGAAAAGACCAGAGATGATTAAAAAAAAGAAAAAAGAAAACTTTCAAGGTGATGCCTTTAATGATCAAAACATAAAACAAAAAAATTTGTAACTAAAATTTGATTTTTGGTTAAAAAATTGAACAGATAAAGGTTATGGTTATGGTATTTCTTGAGTCAAACCTGGAAGTTCAGAAATACTTGATAACGTAGAACAGAATTGCCTAGAGAAAAATTCAGAAAGCAGATCCAAAATTCATAACATGAAATAGAAGGAGTTTTGGAGGTAGAAAAGAAACAAATGGAAAAGTAATAGGTCTGCTGAGTCTTAGCCAGGATTACTATAAGAACACATGTATAGACACATGTTGGTGAAATGCTTGAAGTCCAAGGATAAGGACAAATCTTAAAGTTCTGAGACCCAAAGAACAGGTTATTTGCAATGGAAAGAGAATTAATTAGCTTCAAACTTTTTATCAGCAATGCTAGAAGTTAAAATACTGGAGCAACATTTGTAGAATCCTGAGGGTCCGAAAATTAATAACCAGGAAAGATATCATTCATTTGTCAGGGCAAAATAAACATTTTAAGAAGTGCAGGCATTTAAAACGTATTCTTCCTATGTACTTATCTGAGAAAACACTTGAGGAAATACTCTATCAAATGACAATTGGTTCAGAACAGAAATCCCAAGATAGGGAAAGACAAAAAGGAGAGGAATAATGGGAGCAATGAATCTTGCAATATATGTATTATTAAAATTAAATAGATTATAATGATGTGACTAGGACTTTGTAATATAAATGCTAAGTAGGGATTCTTGAAATAGAAGAATCATCCTTGAAACGAAAGCTAATTAGTAACCTAGAACTAAAGCTTCCATCTTGTTTGGGGCTGAGGGAGGGGAGAGCAGTTAGATAATCTTGGTGCATGGTTGTGTGTTTTTTAAAAAATGTGTATAGTATAAATACATGTAGTATAAAATTATTATTTTCTTTTGATAGAATAAATATATTTAAAGGTGACTCAGAGGAATATGTAGCCATGAACAGAACTTTAAAACACAGTAGGACTTCTAAATTGATATGAAGGAAAAATGAACAGAGGCATGAGAGAGAGGAAAAATGGGTAATTCAGCAAAAGCAAGAAGGAAAAAGAGATAGTATTTAAAATAGAAGGAATAAAATCAGGTATACGAATAACTTCACTAGTGTGAATGAACTCAGGAGACAGACTGGCAGATGGCCCAAAAAGTCACATTCAAATGTATATTATTTCAAGAAACATGCATAAAACATAGTGACAAACGCTGGTTGAAAAAGAAATGGGTAGACAAAGAAAGGTAGTGGGAAAAATGCAAACAAAAATAAAGGAGGGGTGGCAATTTTTCATATCTGAAAGAGCAGAATTTATGGCCCAAAACATTAATTAGGGCGGAGGGAGGCATTATATGGTGTTCTTTAAATCCGTTCTGTCTGATCACCCTTCTCTTCTCCTGGATGACATTTGGTTACTTTTTGGTCTTAGGACAGTCTCATTTTCAAGTATTAATACTAATGACCAAGTCTGTATTAAAACAAAACCTGAATTTTTGACAACAGCAAATTAAGGGATAAAAACAAGATTATATGAAAATGCTACAAAGGCATTTGATAATACTTAGCAACTTTTCATAATAAAATTTCTAAATAAGTTAGAAATGGAAGGAAGATATTGAATACCATAGTACGCCCTTAACTGCGGGGGATTCATTCTAAGACCCCCTGAAACCATGGGTAGTACTGAACCCTATATACACTATGTTTTTTTAATGTTTTCTTTCCTGTACATACGTACCTATAATCAAGTTTAATTTGTAAGTTAGGTACAATAAGAGATTAACAACAATAATAACAAAATAGAACAATTATAACAGTATGCTCTAATAAAAGTTATATGAATGTAGCCTCTCTCCTTCAAAATATCTTATTGTACTGTACTCACCCTTCTTCTTGTGATGATGTGAGATGATAAAATATCTCTGTGATGAGATGAAGTGAGGTGAATTGTGTGTTAGGCTACTATGGGCCTTCTGACAATATGTCAGAAGGAGGATTATCTGCTTGGAGTGATCCTGGATCATTGAGCCATGGTGATATCAGTGGGTGGATGTCAGGAGCAGATGATGTTGGTGGTTGGGGAAATTTATTTATTTATTTTTTTAAGATTTTTATTGGGGAATTGGGGGGATGGGAACAGTGCTAGGGAATTGGGGGAAGGGGAACAGACAAGTTGCTGTCCTTTTGTTCTTCAGTCTAGTTGTGGAAGACGTTGCTTCCCT